CTCACGTTATGCAAATCTTCCCTTTGTCATCTCATTTGCCGATGAATCCTGCCGGCGGATCATCAGCGATTGGTCGGCATCCTTTGCTTCAATATGAATATTACACATAGAAGAAGATGTTTTTGTTTGTTTAAACCTGCATTGCAATCTGAATACTTTGTTTGGTCTGTGTGTGTGTGTGTGTGATTGGGTTACTGTGCGTTAAGGGTCACATTGTGTGTTAGTGCCGGTGAGGCGCTGAAATGCACTCTGGGAAAAGCAAAGAGGAAACCAAGAAAGTGGTCTATTTCAAAGCGGGGCATGTGCATGTGTGTATTTGCACATCCAGGTGTGTACTGTACAGCAATCACCAGTGTGTTTGTGTTGTGTGTGCGTTTGTGTGTCTGTTTGCGCTGTGTGTGTGTGTTTCTGTAGTAATTAGGTACCCGTCTGGCCCTCGGCGATCCATTTCCTGTCAGCGAGGACAAAGAGAGACCTGCTGACAAACCATCTGGTCTCAGATGCATCTCTCTCTCCCTGAACCTGTCCCGCTCGCTCCCGCCTCGGGGAAGCTGCTCGACCCGCGACGCCGCCTCGCTCTCGTCTCCTTTGTAAAAAAACGATCTGATCAGCGAGGAATGATTAAAGTTCTTGTTCTTGTTGCCATTTTGTTCTGTTTGTCTCCGAGTACTTCATCCGTAGCAAAATGTGCTGGTTGCCGTCGCTGGAGGGCGGTGGGTGTGATTCTAAACGAGGCTGTGCTCAGCAGACCAACAACGAGTCATTTACTGATAGATTTCATCATGTGTGTCTTTCATTGTCAAATAACCCATTGCAGTGTGTTTCTATTGGCTTCTTAATCCTGTTGGTTCTAGCACGGAGCTAACACATGGAATCTGCAGCATCACAGAAACCACAAACAGTATTGAATAGATGTTTCGCCTCCTTGTAGGCAGAAAGAAATCAACACAACATTTGATTTTCTTAATTTATAATTTCTTAATAAGTTCTACACTATTTTGATATAATGCAACCACTACTTTTGCTTAAATGTACACACACACACACACACACACACACACAGTCTCTCATTTACACCTGCAAGACGTTTTGCCAAACACGGGCAAGAGTCTTTACAAAGAAGGGGATGAAAATTTGTTCATTGAACTTCTCCACATTATGTACCCTTCCAAGGAGCGCGGGGAGGGTCGCGGCTCAGCATGGTGCCGTTGATCCCTTCGAGCCCAGAGCCCACTCCGCCCCCCCGCGTGCCTTTCAGTACTGTATCATCTGAGCCGAGAGAGAGAGAGAGAAGAGGAGAACCCGTCTCTTGGGTGGTTGGCCAGTCAATTCTTTTGACATGAGGACTCGTTGAACTTCGTGTGGAGGGTGGTCCGGGTCCCACAACGCCTTCTGGATGAGATAACTTGCTCTAGAGGTCATGAGAGAGAAGAAATAACCACTCTTTGATGGAGCATGCACACTATGACGGGCTTAGCTCTGACTTTACGTTGCTCAACTTTGACATCATGCTGACATGAGATCCATGTGTTTCTATTAGATTGCTTTATATCGGACGCCAACAGAAAAAGGTTAAAGGTCGGAGCTGCAGTGGCTTCAAATGGTGATTTACAAATGCTGTGACATGTGATCTGGTGTGATGTCCCTGTTTTCTGCATGTATTACTGGTACATATACTGGTACATATACATATATTTATTTCGTACTGGTTTCTGTGGCCTTTGCACTCATTTACTTTATTTTTTAATTACTGTGGCCTTTGCACTCGCTTGTTTTGATTTTTGATTTTATTTTGAATCCTATTCTTGTCTTTTTTATTATTATCATGATACTGCTGGTCTTGTTTTTTGTTACCATGTATCTTGTGTGCACTGTCCACTTTGCTGCCGCGATCCTGTAAATTTCCCCATTGTGGGACTAATAAAGGAATATCTTATCTTATCTTCTGTTACTTACTTACCTTTTCTTCTCGTCCATCCATATCTATATTAGTCTTTAACTGTTAGTAGAACCTCCAACATCTGGCATAGAATTCATTCACTTCATATATATATATATATCCTTCTTAATTCACAATTTGCCTGGAGGCATTTGTAAGACACGGCGGCTCCAGAAAGGACTTTAAGACGCTTCTTTGTCTTTTTTTCTCTCTCACAATTCGTCATATTGTTTTCACTTTTCATTCCATTTGCAATTCTCTTCTATGCTTTTTAATCAGCCATGCTGGATAAAAAAACGAACGGGCAAAATGGGAGATAGAAAAACATGCATTTGAAAATGTCAAATGAAAACAGACATTACAATGCGATGAAGGGGATCTCCGCTGGAACTCAAGAGGGTTGGAAATGACGCTGTGATTCGCAGCCTTACAGTCCGTGGTTTCCCTGCAGGCTGAACATGGCCGTCCTCTCAGATTATAGTCTGACTCCTCCTGCTCTGCAGCTTTGGGAGAGAGAGGTTTGTTTTCACAGATGCAGATTTTTTCTGCCTTGGGCCATGAGAATAACATATGCAATTTCTGTAAAGGTGAGTACTGTTTTCACTACATAATTGATGTTCCGTGCGCAGTGAAATGAAATGAAATGCCTCACCAGATTTGTTACCTGATGTTTAGATTTAAGATTTATTCTTTACCTTCGCTTACAAAGCCAGAAAAATAACTCAAATCATTGTTCATCATTTAAACCCCTAGAATGTAATATACGTGGTTTGCCTTTTAAACTAAAAAAAATTACATATCAAGTTGTTGTAAATTAATCAAGTAGACCAATTGAATCGCTACATGTAGCTAATTAGGAACACAAACATAAAATGGCAAACCACAAGACTACACATGTTGTTGTTATATATGTATAAGCAGATGGTATAAATCTGCTGATAAACAGTCACAAGCTCTCGATTGGTCACTAAAGATGACCGGGGCCCCAAACTGTGGAACTCCGTCCTCTGCAAAGGAAGACAAGCAAATTCAGTGTCCTCTTTTAAATCACTTCTAAAAGACTCACTTTTACCAGCTGGCTTATCATTTATTTGACGGATTTTATTGTCAAGAACTTTGTCACTTTGTTTTGCAAGGTGCTATATAAATAAAAGTTATTATTATTATTATTATATATGATTTTAGTGCTATTTCTTTTGACCATTGGCTTACCGCTTTCCAAAAAGACTCCGGTAGACACACCATATCATCCCACCCATCAGGGGTAGAAGATACAGGTGAGCTCTAGTGCATCCTGTTTGCACTGATCAACTTTTTTAGAGTCAGCCTATGGTAAATGTAGTTGATTGGACAGGATTTGGAGAGTATATCTAAGGTCCCACAGCGCATGTCCGAGCACAAACCAAGCCATGAAGTCCACGGAATGGTCTGTAGACCCCTGAGACGGAATTGCATCGAGGCACAGATCTTGGGAAGGGAGGTGACCAAGAACCCAACGTTCACTCTGACAGAACTCCGGCTTCGCTCCAGATAGACAGTGAGGGGGACCGATCATGATGTTTTGGTGATTATGACAATGTTGTTAGTAAAGACATTAACAAAGACCAGTGACCACCAAAAGCAGCTAAAGGATGACGTTGACGATGGGTGCGATGCCCATGACATTAGGAGTAGAATTCAGTGCCAGCTGGCTTTAAAACGCACAGAAATGTGTTGTTGTGCAGCTCCGCTCTGCTGAGCGGGATTCGAGGAGGTAGTGAGGGATTGGCAGGGGAACTGGAGGAAAAAGCAGGTTTGCTTTGTTTTGAGTTAAATTCCCTGGACTGTTTACTCGCTGCCAATAGCACTGGCAGCCTGTGTAATTAGTGTAAACTCACATTGTGGGAATATGTGTGTTTTGCTGTGGTGTGTGTTTGTATTTGGACTTGTGTGAAGGCAACGTTTGTGTGTAGTCTACTTTTGTTTGCCTTGCCTTGCCATGCACAGTTTATTTGAAGGTAAAAAAAAAGAATACGGTAGGTTTATTTTGTCTGGCAATGATGTTACATTTGAAGCCCAAGGACACGTCGACTCTCTGGCTCCAGCTCTGCATGCATGACGAAAAGCAGCAGCGGAAAGCGGTTTGAGAGGAGAGGACACAGGAAATAATTAATGGTGAATAATTTGACTTTTTAGTATGAGGTCCATTTCGTGGGACCTTAGTTCTTTCTAATAAAACACTTACTGCCAAAATAACTTTTAAAGAGTTGAGAGAGGATGTTGATGTTGCCCCTTCATGCAGGCGTAAGCCCTAAAATCGTGTGGTTTTACCCAAGAAGATGTGGAAAGCGTTGGTGGGGCGAGGGAATGGCCTCCTCACCCTTTTTCATCCGGGACCAGATGTGCTGATACTGATTTGGAATCATACACTGGATTGTACAGACCCAAGGGCAGCATCACATGTCAGAAACAAAAGGCACAACTGTGTAGTTGTTGTTGTTGTTGCTGTGTACGCATTGACATTGTCACTGAATTCAGCTCTGACTCCAGCATCGTGGAAATTAACATGTTGGTGGTGGGAACGGATAATTATCAAGATTTGAAATTGTCAAATCGAGATGGACAACTTAGGCCATATTGTCTGATCCTAAATATAAATTAAATGAATGACTATTCCTGAAAAACAAAATCAAGATTCTCTTTATTATTTTAAAACCTAATTTAAATTGTCATTTGTTTGAATGGACCTCTGTGAGATATTTAGACATCAACCTAAAAAAGAAAAACAAGACCAGTAGAAGACAGCTGAGTTTGAAAGTTGCTTTGACTTCTGCTTTCCTTCTATATATAAACGTGTTCCAAAGTTAGTCCAATCTGCTCCAACAATGTTTATTTAACATCAAATGTTTGCTGTGAAGAAGAGCGCAGAGGGAGACAGAGGGGAGGAAAGTGGGGAGGGAAGAAATAAAGAGAGACGATCTGAAGGTCTGTACTCTCTCTATCTCCCTCTCCCTCTCTCTCTCTTTTGTCTCCATGAGGACAAAATGACAACACAGAATTAAAGAAACACAAAAGAGAGGTGTTTTTTTTTTTTTTTACAGAAGTCATCTTTTATTGCCACGTAAGAAAGTCTTATATAGAACAATGGTGATATACTGTCAGATGGCAAATTATCAACAAAAGAAGAACAAAAATATACCTATCATCCCTTCCCAAAATAAATGAAACATAAAAATTCATAGAAACACTATGGTAATATATTCCTGGGACAAAACCTCTTCTTTATCTCTTTTTCTAACAATATCTGAATAGTACCAAAATACAGCTTTTTCAGAACTTAATGTCACAAATTATAGTCAGTACACAGTAAAAGGACAATGGTCATCACGGTGCATATTAGAAGCTATGTGCAAACAAAAGTGTGAGATGGCATCTACCATAGAAAATATGTCTCACTACTTACGCATAAATGCAGTGTTGGGACTATATATGTATCCATATACACATATGCATAAATACCACAAACTGGCCTGAACATCAAAAATAGAAAATTGGATCTCGTATAACTTTGTGTGTAATGCATGATCACGAAAATGAGTTATTCTATAAAAGGATAGCAGTCATATCGCAGATAGCTTATTGAGTCCTTAGCCGAGGTCAATAACCAGTGTTCTTTTCCCTCCCGTTGTCATTGATGTCCTTCCGTTAACTCTAACAGCAAGTATATTTAATATAGGTTCATTAATATATGAATAAAAAATAATCATACACATTGGAGCAAAACCCTTTTAAAAGGGCTGGCGAGCGTCACTGGACAACAAACACTGCATCTCCTCCGTCTCTGTGTGCAGAAGCTCTGGATGGTTGAAAACAACAAGGCCGATGTCATACAAAGTGGCAAACGTAGCTGATGAGAACCCTTTATATAATGTACTGATGCATGGATTTCTTTGCCCGTGCTGATGCTCGTAGGCTGCACATCTTACGCCGCTATCCAGCAAACAGTTAAAGGATACGAAAGAAAAGAGTGGAGGAAAACCTGTTAAAAATGCAACTTGTGTTCAAGCCCTTTAGTGTCATCCCACATGTACTGTACATACTGCACTTTTTAACCATGAAAACGCTGCTGCTTACTTCCATTAGAGGCGCAAGTACGCTTATTAGAGTATTTGCATTTCATCTCTTGTGATTAAGGGGAGAAAGTACTTTCTTCAACACCTCTCCACCAAGAAAAGAATATTCACAGACTACGTCGCTGTCCCGATTCAGTGTGACGTGGAGAACAATCCACACTTCCCATCTTCATCTCGATTGGGATACACAGTGTAAACAAACACTCAGCCCAAAAGCAGCTGACAAATACACGTTCCAGTGCACGTTAGGAACGGCCAATCCGTCGCGAGGAATACGTTTGTTTTGGGGGTTCTGGAGAGCCGCGGGATTAATAATCAAAAGAAGCATGAGAGTTTCTAACAATACTGTCACAACATAAAGTGTGTGTGAGAGAGAGATGCAGCAGTAATCTCTGATTCACAGCTATGCAAATGGGGCAAAATCAATAATTCAAAGCCCCCCCGGCCCCCATCAGGTGTTGACATTAAGTCCCTTCTCTGTCTTTGTGGGCCACTGTGAGTTGAGTCCTCATCCGAGCACCAAAGCTCTCCACACTCTGGGTTGCCGGTGATTAAAGACCACAGTGAAAACTGGTAAAGCCCCCATGGCCAGTGGTCCCAGTAGGGCTCCTTCGTCTCTCTTATCCAACATTCCCTGTAGATGTTCAACTGTGTGGTTTTTTTAACAGTAGAAAGAAGCACTAGTCCTATGGCGTTGCTTTTGCTATTTGTTAAAGCAGGAGGGGTTTCGCATACCACTCACATCCCACCTGCCACTCAATGAAGCTGGAGGGGTCTTTCGGGGGTACGCTTAAGTAATTGTCGGCCCTGTTGTTGCTCGTTAACATTTCATAGGGAAGGTGGGTGAGTTGTTCAGGTCCTGTCTGGTTTCAAAGACATTTCATTGCCGTTTGCTTTTCTAAAAAGAATACAGACCGAGAAAATACTCAAAGTACGACAGTTTAAGCCTGTATAAAATGAGCACAGTGGTGGCTTTATGGCAGTGAGTGGCAGGGAGCTCAGGCAATGCGGCGCTGAAAAGTTCTGTCGCAGAGAACCGGATTGGACCCAGACAGCACAACTGGCAATGTTGGGAAGGCAGACAGGGATCATTATAGTCGCTCTAGAGACTTTGACTTCATGGTTGGGGTAGAATCTGGGCGTATTTTTCAGTAAAGCTCTTTACTGTTGGGTAAAAGGAAGTGCATTGGAGGACACATATGACAGCAGTAACAAAGAAGACAGTGTAGAAGGAGGGACTAGGCCAAAGAAAAAATATGCAGCAAAACAAATCATTTGAAATCAACAAACGGCCGGCAGCTGGTTAGCTTATGTCCCGAAATAGCTGGTCTGCGATGCTTCACAGCAAAGTAAATCGAGAAGACAAATCCCCCGAGGCCGAACTGCAGTTTGTGTTTCTATTCGTCACTTACTCAGGAAAGCAAACCCAAGATGGGTGTAAAGACAAAGTATTGCATCCTTGAAACGAGGCCAAAGCGAGTCGGGTCCGAGCGTTAACGGCACACCAACTCAACATGCTTCACTGGCCCTACTCCGGCTCCCTGTGGATGATCAGTGTGCCGGTGAACCTCTAACACGCGTCTGATTCCTATAATGAGGCCAATTTCCCCGGTGCTCTGACTACCATCCAGGCAGGAAAAAAGGGAATGACGCAGAAAGACCTCGGAGATGCCGCGATATCGCAATCAGGACCTAAACGGTTTTGGGGCAATTCAATTCCCACTGAGAGGTCATTCCTAATTTTGGAACTCGTGTCTCGGTAGAGAGTCACTAAGAGGTGAAGGGGAGAAATGTCGGTTACTATACGGATGCCAGCTGGAGGGAATGTTTTCATTGACTAGAATGAATGAACCACATTCTAGATGTTCTAGAGGTCATTAGCGTCATTGGCTTGCTACCATGGCTGTTGAAAACATGCTAGCGCTAATCAGTCACGGTATTTTTGCTAGTTTTAGCTTTCAGAGATAATCAATGAGTTACTGTCGGTAGAAAAGTTTGTTAGCAAACAGAAATAATGCTAATTGAAGACACATCTGTGGCAACAACCCTTCAGTCTGTAACTCGGTTTAGGCAGCAGCGCAAATTCACATTTCACTCAGTATTGCACATAAGATATTCAGATTTCTTTTAAAATCAGAATTACTTCGTCGGTAGGTCTCCCTGCACCCAAACAATATTATATGGATGTTTATAATAAATCCTGCTCATTTTCCTCTGTTTCTTTGGAATTGGCAGGTTTGATATTTGTTTATTAGACACTAAATGTACATATTATTGAAGTATGTGTAGCCACTAGCTATAATATATCCAAATCTATCACTAAATTGCCAAGCTGTAGAAAAAACTCGGCCATATGAATGATGAATGATCACTGCTCCGGAGCTCCCACTGGCGCTCTTTGGCGCGTCCTTCAGTCTTTGCTGTGACATTTTTTGTCTGACGAACTCGTCTGATGAAGGATGTCAGACATTGCTGCCGCCTGAACCCCCTCGTCTGTGACCCTATCAACCGCGACCCTGCAAGCTTAACCAATCCCCCACTTTCTAACAGGGTTTATTCAGGACGGACCGTAATGGATGAGGTGTTTTTTTGTTGTTGTTGTTGTCCTTGTTTTGTTTACAAAATGCCCAGCTTGCTCACAAATCGCTCAGTGGCTGCTCTTGCAGGGCTGAATGGCCATTAAGGACGCAGCGGCACGTGATGGCAAGGAGGGCTCATGTTCCACATTTACGCATCGCTTGATTATGTCAATATGTTCAGAGAATTCACATCCTCAGCAGACATTGGCCGGATTCTGAACTGAACGCAAACAAAACCACCAGCTGGAAAGAAAAGGCGGAAATTAATACGAAAAGGAGAATTATATTGTGAACTGTAATTACATATGCTTCATTTTGTTTGGCTAGTTTGTTGGACTTTTGACTTCATCAGGGACAATAATCAATGCCAGTTGGATTCTCACACACACACACACACACATACACGGAAAAAGTATGAAATGTGTGCAGTGTTCAAGAAGACACACAATGGTTCTGCAGACTGAATTACATTTTTTTTGGCACACAGAATCAATCACTTATATTTTCTGCTCAAACAATGCACATGGGGGAAAACCGAGGTGTTGGGTGAATTACTTTTATTCACCGTCTCATGGCGACGTGTACTCCACTATCAATGAAGAGATTCATCACAGCCCTGTTCAGACATCGAGGGAGCAAAGAAGAAAAAGGGGGATAATCAAGTAAGCAGAAAAAGACAAGAAAGCAAGAACTTCAGAGGGAGGCTATGTATAAAGCATAATAAGGTATCGCTACAAAGGGCCATGTCTGGAGTTTTACAGTTTCATATACAACAAGAGCAGTAACGGCACTGGCTCTTTTATGTCCCTGCTGCGATGACGGCTGCCGCTCGGCAGTGTGGGAAAGCAGAATCCACCTTGTAATGTTTTCGGTGTGAGTGTGTGTATGTTTTGGTTTGTGGGTGTAAAGATGACACATTTTAATGCTCTGATGACTTCTTAAATCCTCTTTCGTGCTTTCAATTTGTTTCCAGTCATGTGACCATGGAGGCAGCAGGGGGTTCCACCCCCCTCATCTTACGCTCGACCGATTCAGACACCGAAACCTATTTGTACCTCAGATCTACATTTGTAGGTACGCAGTGAAACTAAAACTAAGTGTAGCTCTGCTGGAGCTCGCAGTCAAATGTGACGGAGTGAAATCCAGTGTTTTGTGCAGCTCTCTTACATGTACATGCTTTAACGTTGACTATTTGTGCATTGGTTTGACCGGCACACACATTTATAGCATGCTGCACACTGTAAAGCAAAATGGTTCTCTGACCAGAATTTTGATGAGTAATTACTTTTTATTCTGTTTTAATGTTGCAATGTGTTTTCTGATTAAAATCTGACCCCGTAAAAAGGATTTGACCTGTTTGTCAGACTTTTATTTGTATGTATTTTGAACTCATGTCACCCAAATGGTTATTTTTTTCTGCTTATTTTTATTCAGCTAGGACTCTGAGCCTGTGAGGGATCTAATAAATCCTTTCTCCTGGCAGAAGGTTTTTTTCACCAGCTTAAAAAATAATGTTTTTCATTCCTCAGTCAGTCAGTCTGACTTTTCATTCCTCTTAAGTCAAATTCAATCCAAATTCCTTTGTCTAAAACTAGAGAAGTATAACATCTTGTGCAAAAATCTGGGCAGAATTAAAATGCTGAAAAGCCAACGCTGCCATTTGGTCAATCAAACCATATATTGCCCTCGATTGACCGATATTTTATGTGTGCTGTCCTGACCAGAGGTACATTAGAATTGCCTTTTCATTCATTCTTTCAATTTTGCCGGACAACCTTACGAAGACAATAAGACTCCAGGAAGTTACTGCGAAAACAGATGAATAGCAGATGAACCACAAAGTTTATATTTTGGTACAGTTTGTTCACATTTGAAAAATGAACAACTAGATATATAAGTATTTTAATGAGTTTTGAGATGCTTATATCTTGTTATTGTTGTAGGAGAGAACTAGGCTAGTTTCCCCCCCCGTTTCTAGTCTTTGCGCTAAGCTAACAAACTACTGGCTGTGGCTTCATATAGACATAATTGGATATGGTGGATCATTCCGACATTTTCTGAAAGTTAAATTTGAACTGTGGAATCCAAAGTCACTGCTCAGAATATGAGTTTGCAGAAACACTGAACAGAATTTTTGAAATGCAAAAAGTCCATTTTAATGTTGACAAATACGCCAGCTATCCGTACGTATGATGGTACCGTTCTTTAAGAAGCCATGTTGGTCGCACCCTGGTGTGCAATATTTCTACAGTATGTGTTTCTTTGCGTTAGAGTAAAATATGTTTCTGCATGTGCGTGAATGTATGTGCGTACACGAGAATCATGCTCCGTGGAGCCTCTGCTAGCTGCAGCATCATCCACATGCCGCCTCGTTGCCTCCTCGTCCCTCCACTGGGCTGGCTGTCACCACACAGACAAGATCAGAACAGAACAATGCCAACGTGACAGCCTCCATTCTGTGTGCTGAGGCCTTGTGGAAAATGGGCGACCTTCAGCGGCAGATCTTATGAAGGCCCTTCTGAATAGCCACAGTACAAAGCCGTGGGGGTCTGCAGTCCAAAGCCCAGTGATCATCAGGTTTCACAGCCTTCGAGAGATTCGGGGGTATGAATCACATGGGAATGTTATTTCTTCCAAGCCATTCAACGCTCTGTTGGGCAGAGGTTTGTAGGTATGCCCTGCCGTTGCAAGGTTTGTAGGTAAACTTACTGTGTTCCTTCCAACTTCAGTGATTTAATCCCTTATATTGCTTTTCAGCTTTGATTCGTAAAGCAAGTCCTTGTTTTTTATTTGTTCCCAACAGCAGTTTCTCACTAAATCATCTGTGTGTTGTACTCTAATGCTCAGATTGTTGTTTTCATCCAGCATACCGTATACCGTATACCGTAGTATCCCCACAAGGGTACACAAGCCCTCCTCCGTAGGCTCTTTGAAGTTATGGTTACAGATGCCACCAACTTTGCCACCTTCCGTTTGGCAACAAAAGTCTGTTTAGTGATTGGATTGGTGAATTCTGTTTGTGAAGCGAGGACAACTCTGATTCACAGTCCCACCACATTCACCAGTATACCAACGAGCCACACAAACACATTCATAGATCTGCACTGTTGCCCAAGCCAGGGTTGGTGTCTCCACTCAGACATTATTTGTGCCGTCACTCCACATGCATCCTTTCCCCCTTCTTCTTCTCCCAGTCGTCCTCTCTCACACAGTCACCTCTGTCTTGCTGTTGGTCACAAAGTAAGGCTGTGTGGGGAGGAAGTGTTGACTGTGGCTGTGGCCTCTGGTGCTGTGAAGCTGGTTGGGCTCAAGCACGGTGCACTGAGGCCTCTTGTGCCCGTAGGTCTTCCTCCGGCCCACCGTCTCAGTCCCGTCCCAGGCCTTCAGCCCTAGCCCCATTGAATGCCCAGCCGCGATTGTGTTGGAACTGTAAGCCATTGGACGGCCCATAGTAGCCGAGCTGGAGCCAATAACGGTCTCTGCGGCTCTGGAGATACCCAGGGACGTGCCACCTGGCATAGTCCCTGCCATGTGTGCGAGGGAGGTAGCCCCAAGTCCTGGCGGCTTGCTACTGTGGCTGTGCGCATGACTGTGAGTGTGAGAGCTGTGCGAGCTGTGAGAGCTGTGGCCCACGTGACCATGGACGCCTTTGAGTTTCTGGCCGTTCAGCTTGAGTCCCCCTCCTCCTCCGACACCGACCATGTGCCGTTCTGTCGGGAGGGTCGAGACTGAAGAGATATTGGACATCTCAGTGACATAGGTGGCCACTGGCTCTGGAGTCAGTGGGCCCAGGGAGGTCATAGGGGTAATGGAGGTCATAGGCACCATGGAGGTCATCTGGGCGTGGGAAGTCATAGGGGTCATGGAGGTCATTGGCATCATAGATGTCATGGAGGTCATCTGGGTAATGTTGGAGTTCATGGGATTGGAGGCCATTTGGTTTGAGGCCATGGGGTTGGTAGTCATCGGAGGGGTCATTGATGGCATGTTGCCCATAGAGGGTCTTGAGTTTCCCATCGGCTGGAGAGGAAGTCCACCCTTCGTTGGCAGCTCCACCATCAGCCGGCGTTTGTTGTAGACTTCACCGTTGTACTTGGCAGCTGACGGGAGAGAGAAAAAGACAGACAGAGAGAGAGGGATCAGTAAACGTAATAGAGCGGAGAAATGAATATCGGACATCTAATTGAATTTCCTTCCTTTAAATTTGACAGATCTTCTCAGACTGGGATTTGTGACTTTTGGATAGAAAACATCGCAACCCTTTTCACTCCTACAATCTAAAAAGGTCATGTAACAAACCCCACGTACTTTACCTTTTGTTAGTCAGCCCACCCTCATCTACTGCAAATAGCTAAGCACCTCTTTGGACATGGCCTATAATAACTAGAAAATCATTCAAGAAGACCATGTAGACCTTTCTGGGGAGAAAATGAAGAGTAGTGCAATTCCAGTTATTGATCGTTTTGACATATTTGACTTCTGACTAAAGGCAGGAGGCAATTTGAGGGATGGGTGCGATCCCCTGGTAGCAGAGCGGGTCTTCCACTCCCAACGCAGTCCTGTCGTAAGTCAAGCCAGGTGAGGCAGCCAGGCCAATGGGTGCATCGGCGGAGTGGAGTTTTTTTTTTAAATAAATCTTTTGTGAAAGAAGTCATGGGTATATTCTCTGACTGCCTCTGAAATTGGCCTCATTCACCAATATCTTCCTACGTTATTTTGCATTTGTTCTTAAGAAAGTTCCTAAGAAATGTGTGATTCATGACGTGTTCCTAAACAGCGGAATTGTTCACAGGTGCGGACTTAGAATCCCTATATGTCGTAAATTGAAAGCTCCGTTGCTCCTAATTAGCATAAATTAATGCCCCGTTAATTCCCATAAAAGGGCATGAGATGGCAGGGCCGTGTGCACACTCAGAGAAATATATCTGTATGGAGAGATGCGTTCCCTCCTCAGGGCACGATCTGCAGCATTTTGCAGCAGCAGTAAATACGCTGTTGTGTGGTGGAGTCCTAGTGTGCAGAATAGGCCTTCTTTAAGTCTATAAATACCGTGATCAGTACTTATTATTGGATGACACGGTTCCTCAACATAATTGATGTGAGTTGATGGCAAAACAAGGTTAGTTTATTTATATAGGCCTAGCACACTCCATACACCATGGCAAAGTGCTTTACAAATGAGCAGTGTGTAAGTGTAAGTGTAGTGTGTATTTATTAAAACAAACAGACATATAATTATGTGTAAAATAATAAAAAATTGGGTGTGTAAATTCTCTTCTTACCTAAGAAGAAATAAGAAAACATTGGTGAATGCCAGAAACTGCGTAAGTGGGGATCAAGCACAAATTTGTCCTTCAGAACATTCGGGGAATGAGGCCCATTGGTATCTGCGCCAACTAGCAGCCAATTGGTATTTTAAACAATGATACAGGGCGCCGTATATGACGCTGACGCTGGGCGTGTCAGCGGTGCAATGATTGCTGGTAAGACAAACCGTTCCCCCTGATTCCAAATGACACCGCCTACAGAATATAGTAATCTTTTTTCAGCATTGGCAGCATGTCAATTGCAAATGTAACTCCAGTTCATGCTGCTGCAAATTAAGTGAAAAGACATCTCCCTGTCTACATAGAAATAATCTACACAGGATTTAGTTTTTATGTGAAGGTGGGGAAGGGTCTTTAAGATGTAAAAACATGCTAGCTTTGTAATGTACTGCAATACTGCCATGTTGTGCAACAGAGGTACACAAACAAGCTAATTGACCACTTGCTAGCAAAAGTACGCTTTGTCATGGCCTTGGTCTGGATGTAAATGTGTGACTATGTCATGGTTTGTGTTTGTTTTCTGTCTTATTTTGTAGTTTTCTGCCTCTTGTGTCCCTGGGTAACTTCACTTCCTGCCTTGTCCTGTCATCCCCTGTGATTGTCTGATTGTTTCCACCTGTCTCCAATCACCTGCACCTCCCTAGTGTATTTAAGCCATATGTGTCTCTTGTCACTTGTTGCGTCATTGTTAACAGTCAAATGTCCTACCCTTTGAGTTCCTGATCCCTGTCTGTGTTTTTGCCCCTTGGCCTTTTGATTTTTAGACTATTAAAGTATTTTTGTTTTCCCAAAACTCTGCGTTTGAGTCCTGCCTTAATCGCATCCCGACAGACTAAGGCGTACATGTAATTTGTTTTCATGTAGACAATCAGTCAATGGGAGCCAGAGCAAGAGACACAAGTCTCCGGTCTGTCCATCGTTCCACCAGCCAACAATACTCAACGCTGCTTAACTTGCACGCACAGAAAGTTGCTGAATAAAAGCCTGTCAAATCATTCATTTAAGGGGGTAAAAGGTATGAGGAAATGCGTACGTACAGTATGTGCGACATAAACACGTGGGCACAATCATACGAAAGCCACCATGCCTCAATGTGGAAGCATCTTCCCATATCTTCTGTATGTATATCTGTGTAGTTGTGTTTATTTAGCCTCAGGTGTAATGCCTGACGTTTATTCCACCGACTGTCAGTCACTGTCACCGGGCCACCGTCTCTCTTATCTCTGCGCAACGGGACCTTTTTTCCCCCCCTTTTTGTTGTGGAATACGCATTCACAGTTGGGTCATCACTCTTTAGTGCCTCCACGTCCACGTCCCCAAGATAACGTTAACGCGCTCAGCAGTTAGCTTTGCCGTTGTAACTATAAATCTACTGTATCGCGCTGTGAGTGGGGAGAGAAACGAGCGGAGGGAAAGGTGTTTGTGAGGTGGCGGGATATTGGGAGAGGGGGGGGGGTTATTGCGGCGCCTCAGCCGCCGAGGCTGCCGCTAGACCGCCCTTGGGGATCAAACCTGCTCAGGCGACAGGTGAATCAATCCGGCGGCAGGCGGCTCAACGGGAGCGCGCATCCAGCAGGCGTACGTGAGTGGGAATGTAAAATCCAGCTGTTACGCAGTGGGAGCTCGTCATGCCTCTGCATGGGAAAGGCGAGCATCCGACAAAGACCAACAGCCATTGTGCATCAGAGAAAATCAAGAACGGTTTCCCCGGAGGGCCAATAACATGAGCACCTTATATATAGTTTATTAATATTAATTTATTGTCTGTTCTTGTATTTGGTGTAGATTGGCAAGTAAGGCTGTTACCCTACCAAAAAAATTAGTCTGGGACTCGTATATCTCACGATGAATTATATGCTGTCTATGAGGCTTTTCCACTCAATATCATGTTAGTATTCTTTTTGGCAGGAAAATCCTGTGATATAAAGATATTCGTTGTTGCCACAGGACGGGAGGTCAGCTGCTATCGTACAGTAATGTCAAGTGAAGAAGGTGAGCTACGACCAACTGCAGCTCATTAAATGGGGCTGTCAAAGACACAAAGGCAGACCGACTGTGCTTCTGTTATACAAATCTTGAGGATGTGACATCTTACAGTAATTGACATTTTAGCGGTTGCGGCACGGCTCTAACAAGGACACTGTCTCCATCTCTGATCATCTGTTTTGGTTTAAGGTAAAATATTCAATCATATCAATCCGTCCTTCTCCTTCATTTTGCTGAAAGGATTACCATTTTGTTTACAAGTCACCTTTCTTTAATACAGCAGTTTGTCAACATGTGACCTTGTTCCGTTAGCCTGAGCGGAATGCAGCGTTTATTTAGTGTCACTCTGCAAAGGTACAAGGAAAACCAGGCTAAGACGGCGAACAATAAATACTTGGCCAACATCAGCATGTTGTCATTGCGAGCCTGTTTCCATGCTGGCATTAGTTTTGACTAAGCTCAAAGTGCTGTTGTCATGATATTCTCTCACTAAATTAGTGTTACAATGTTGAAACCCATTTGCATGTAAAGAGATTAGAGAAGATTCAGTGCTTGGTATAATGTGTCTTCATATTTTACATTTTTCTCACAAAACACTTGATGATCTTTTTTTTTTTGTCTCGCATATAAAACACTGTTATAAACACGACAGCGGCAGGTTGGGTTAAGTCCATTAAAGAAGGATCGCGGCTTGTTGTGTGATACTTTCATCTAAAACATTTACCCAGTAGCTCTCAGGTATAGACTGACTGTACTGCGAAACTTCTAGATTAAGATACTGACAATTTAATTAGACTACCTGTGAAAATGAGCATGTGGGAATGTGTCATCGCTCTGGAATTAAGCGCGGGCCGTGATTGGTCGTGTCCGTAGCCTCTGCATTGAGGGACTAGTATTCGTGGGTTCTGGTCTTGGCTGCGGTCAAGTGTTCGATAAAGTACCCTTATACGGATGCACAGGGGGACGCTGGAAGATGGCTATTGATTGACAGAAGTGTGGCTTATCAGCTGGATGGTGGACCATTGGGAAAGAGGCGGAGGCAATTAGAGGAAAGGGGAGAAAAAAAGGCGGCCGGGTGGAGTTGGGAGATGGTGCTGATGTTAGATTTATACTTGGTTCCATTTCTCATGGGGTCAACAGGCAGCGAGAGCACCAGACTCTGAGGCAAAGGAGATGAAAAGAAAAGCCGAGTCCATTTATCTTGCTGGAGATTAGCGGAGCTCACATGAAGGGGACATCAGAAAGAACCACCGCTGGCGTTTTTTGGGGTTTTTTTCCTGTCATTTAGTTTCTCCTTTCGCTCCCTTACTCCACACAGCTCGTGGGCAGTTTGTCCGTCGTTGGACCGGCAGCTTGCCGCGTGGAATCCCAGGTGCTGTACATCTCAGGATAGGTTTCCAATCATATCACAGGAGCCTCTTTGAACACCACTCGTGGAATGAAAATCCATTCAAGTCTCAAGTCACTGCATTGTGTGCCTGAAGAGTGGAGGGAGGCCTCGCTTCAATTACCGAAATGGAATCAGATGTGAGTGGCTTTGAGTGAAGATCAACATTAGCGCCACAGGGATTCTTTAAGCATGTAGAACCCGATGGAGGCGAGGGGGTGGGGGTGGGGGCGGTTACTATGTGGCAGGGGAGACAAAAAAACAAAAAGTAGCGGGAAAATGCAGAGATCGGGGTGCCGGATGGATGATTAAGGTGCCACTCTGAAGGAGGGAACAAGACAAGACGGGAGATTGAAAGAGGTGGAAACAGAAATAAGAGCGAGGGAACGAAGGGGGCAGGGAATGAGAGAGGTGAAGGAGGAAGGTGAGGGACAAGAAGAAACATGCCAAGACATTAAAGGTTAGAAGGTGAAACGGGAGGAAAATGGTACGCGAGAAGCAGTGATGGGAAATTGGGCGCCATTTTAAATATAAATCAGCAGAGGGCGAAGAGGTGGGTTGGAAAGGAGTTGAAGAGGAAGACGGGAAGAGAATTTATACACTGCCCAAATCAGAGCGCCTTGTGTAATTCTCCATGGACATATTTGAACCCTACTGGTGATTTTGCACATTTGGTTTGGTGAATATTTAGTCTCGTCAAATAAGTTGTCTGAGTAATTGTTTTTGTTTTCATGTTGAACAATTTGATAGTTGTATTTGATGTTTTAAACGTATATCTTCTTCAAATCAATAATTGTCATGAGCGGTGGTACAATTTGGAAATCTCTATTCGAATCCAATTCCTAGGGACATGATTCCAAATCAATTCTTGATTCAAAAAGGTTTTCCAATAAAAAAACAAAATAGAAAAGGTGCCTTAGTCTCACGCACTTCCCTCGGAGCACTGCGTGCTAAAGCATTCACTTGTAATTTTAGTACGCTGAAATGCAATATAAGAAATAGCTGGCAGTTATCTAAGTTAAGTGGTCTTGATGAAGGTCACTGCTGAACAGAAAGAAGGCAAGTAAAATGTGTGGGAGGAGACAGTTTCTTTATTTGACGAAGCATTCATTTGGAAGAATATCCCTGTCCTCTGTCGGTTTGAAAATAATCAAGTGTCATTTATTATCATGTTGCTGAAAGGTAAAAGAGAAGTTGGTTTATGGGTCGTGGATTAAGGAAGCCAAGAAAAGCAGTGTATTTTTGCCAGAGTGTTGGCCGGGTCGATCTTTCTCTGGCTGACCAGAGTTGCAGATTTGCCGCAGTGCGTGGGGGTCGTTCGGCTTGTTTGCAGGTTCTAACAAAATACTTGACCTTTATCCTGCAAAGCTAATTATTGCGCACTCCCACTAGGACCTGAACCTTGTACTGCTTATAAGACGTGGACATTAGTTGGAAGGGAAACCTCTATGTGAGTTCAACACATCGCTTTCATCCCTGTGAGCTCACCTTAAATCTGAGTATAAGACGAGGAGCCGGAGAAGTAGCCTGGAGCTAATGGTGTAATTTGCATGTGACTTACATTAGAGTGATGTGGAATATTTCAGCCTCCAGCTGATATGCACCATGGATTTCATTTTCAGTGTGCATTAGTTTTCAAGTAGAATATTTAAATATCTATTTTTTGCATAGACATAAATTCTGGATTTTTGAATATGGGAGAAGTAGTAGATACGTTTTTAACCAATAATTCAGACAAAAATATCTTGAACATTTCAGTGCACGTTTCAAGTTTGAATCCCAGAAACTATACAGTTTTCAAAGAACTCTTTTCCACAACAAAACATAGTAAACTGATCCTCCATATACTCTGGATGCATTATCCAGAACAATTCGGTTTATCGACCAATTTGTGCATTTTTTGCAGGAATTTCCTGCAAAAATACCTTGTACCTTCTCCTTGTACTCCATCAGCATGCCTCATCTATTTCCCCCCGCAGTTAGAGATTTCCCAAAATGCCGTCCTCTATCCCCGGAGCGTGTGTGCTGCATCCATCTGTTGTTTTCACGTGCGGTTAAGATGAGAGGAGAGCTGTAGTCTGACGTCTGAGAATAAGGTTCTCCAGTCGGAAACAGCAGGGTTGCGTCGCTTCCCCAAATTGTGGCTGCACTGCATTCTGGTCTATTGAAGCTCCTGTCAGTGGATAAATTGGCCTCTCTCCTGTGATGGATGCATTCATTCTCTCCTGGTTGAATATTGGTAAAAGAATATTGAGTTGCAAAAAAATAATCCTTTTCTTCTGTGATCCTCAGGGACTGACACCAAGACGCCTTCTGTTGGCATTTTAGATAACTGGGCAATTTTCTGCAATCAAACACAGCTGTAGCTGAAAATATCTATTGTGTGATGTCTATATTTGGCCTGTTATCTATCAACTAACAGAAAAACAAACAATATGACAACAATGACAGAGGTAATCAGCATTTCTATTGATGTTAATGCAGTTTTTCTCTTTAAACTCAAGCAGAAAGTTGTCCACAAATGATTTAGTATTCATTTGTTTCTTGGTTTTCAATGATGCTGCCAGTTATTGTCAGTGCCTCACAGCAGTGGTCCTCAACTACCAGACCGTGGACCAGTAACGGTCCGTGGGCCATTTGGTACCCGGCCGCGCAGAAAGAATGAACCACTTTTATTTATTTCATTTGACTTTTTTTCCAGAAAAATGTTTTATTTTGAAAATATTGTCTCCCTCTTGGCACATTTCCGTCACCCACCGTTTTTTTTTCCAGCAAAATATTGTCCAACACAAAACCGGTCTGTGAGGAGAGAAAGGTTTGGGACCGCTGCTGTTTTTACAACCTTCAATTACATTTTTATTTTGATCATCTTACAAAATGGACCTTTCCAAAATAATTAAATTCTTAAAAAATGTAATGCTATTTTTTTGTGGCCTCCCACCTCCATGCGCCGATGTCTCCGATATCACCTGTGGAGCTTCCCAGTATCTTGATTAATGATTCATAATGATTAATGGATTTAATGGTGCTCCGTCAGACCATGTGAGGCTCGGAATGCAGATTTTAATGAACAAATTATGGGACTTCCGAAGGTAAACTTTTGCAAAGCCCTGTAAACGGCACAGCTCACCATAAACAAGCATAGTGGTCTCTTACTGTAAGGTCTGCGGATGAGTCACAGCCCTCTGCATGCAGGCCGCCTTTGGCAATATTTTTTAGATTTTTTAATACAGAGAGTTCACGACTACGTTTCTCATCTGAATCCCATATTTCACTTTCTGCCGCTCGGCATGCCGATAAAAGCCTCTCAAAGACTAGTTCATTGCTATCTATTAACTGCAGACAGTTAGCATTTTAGCAACTGTTCATATGGATATTGAGGCGTGTTTGTGGAGTGGGCTGAATTTGAGTGAGGGCCCGGATGACAGACACACGCTGTAAGTATTCACAAGTCCATTTTAAATGAATTCAGGTTGTGAAATAGTGAGGCCAATTCAAATCTACTGCCCTGGCACGCTTTCATTAAGCTGTCAAGCTGCTTAATGAGCAGCCTGTTTCTGTTTTACAGCGTGTCTAGTTTGGCCATGCAATCAATAGCACCTGCTGGCTGCTGTCGCTCAGAGACCTCTGGAAACATCACACTTTGTGTTGGGGTCACAGCACCCCCCCTCTCCCCCCCCCCTCTAAAGCAACAATCGAGTAATAGATAAAAGCCTTGAGATTCACTCAAATCGAACCCAAGATCCCTCAGATGCTGACAAGAAAGAGGAAAAGCCTCTAGATTGACTGTGATGATGATGCACCCTTTATAAACCCGTCACAGCCAGCTGCAACGACTGATAAAGCACACATACACACCCACACAATGCTGCAACATCTAGTACGCTGGCCGTCCTTAGCGGCAACTGTTCCTCACTTTGTCTGAAAAATTGAAAGATGATAAGAGAACTTGACAGACACTCACCCACAGCTTTCAGGGAGGCATACTTGTTGAGATCCTTGTTTTGCTGCTGCTGCTGCTGCTGCTGCTGCTGCTGTTGCTGCTGCTGGTGTTCGTAGACGTGTGCCAGCTGGTTGAGGGCAGGGTAAGGGTGCTGCTGGCCCATGTTGGATCCCGGTCCCAAGTTGTTGTTGATCTGGCCGCCCTCTGTGGGCGAGGTCACATGACAGGCCAAGGTTAGAATCCGGTCCAGACCGGGCGTTCGGGAGGGTTGACAGTGTAAGGCATGTGCTCACAAAGCATGTGACGGGTTTCTTTGGAAATGATGTTCATGCTCCACCATTCTCAGGATTCTCATGCATCCGTGTCCTTTTATTGGTTTTAATACTCGTATGTCAGAATGCAAGTTAAGTAAGTTGCTGAGCCATTCTTTCTTTACGTATTTTTGACCCATCGGCCACAATGACGACGTTGAAGTTCATCAAAGAGCTTCAGTCCTCTTTATTTGAAGTGTTTCATAGACGCATCCTTAATCCTCGCCTCAGTATGCAGAGCATGTCTCACCAGGAAAGCAGTTTGACTTTAAAAACAGGATCACATCAAATTAGTTATAACTTTGAAATTTGTTATAATTTTCTAATTAGTTTTTGGGGTTTATGTGTAATACAGGATTTTTGATTATTTTTTTAGCACATCCGCTTGCTGTCCAAACATATTTAGTGCAGAGAGTACACTGCAAAAAAAAACAACTACATTTTTACAGTATTTTTTCAGTTTTTTAAAATGATATTACAAACATTATATGTAAACTGTTCATTTAGGTATTATGCCAGTATGACAAATGACATTTATTGCTCATGCCAATTAATGTAAAATAACGCTAATTATCCGTGATTATATATCTTGCTCATTATATGAAGGTTTATGTTCATACATGACAATTGTCTTTGTAATTTTATAAACCTTTGTAAAAGTTAAACCTATTATATGTGTGTGTCTTTTTATATTTAAACTCTGTAAATCTTCCATCCAACACAATGCAGTATGACACTACATAATGAATACATTTTGATTTCAAAATGTTAATTTCAAATCAATTCATTGTTCCTGTTATCGAAGTAGTTAAGCTAAACCACCATCTTTCTCCACATTACGTTGACTATCATTTTGTATTTGAATGTGAATTTGCGGGTTTGAAAGGAGTTTACTCTTTCCTGCTTATGGCGTAGGAAGTAAAAGATGTTGCATAATGAAAACAGTATCAAGGTTGTGAAATGTGCTGATGTATGCCCCTAAATCCTCAAGCGCTAATATATTTTCATTTACATGCCGCCTCAGAATCACAGTAAACCTTGGGGTGATGCTTTATAAGAACTTCAGGAGCTTTATGTTCTGATTGTGATTAGCAGGCAATCAGTCCTTCATGCACCAGCACATTTTAAAAGCAGCCCTCTCAGGCATGGCAGTATTTGATTGGCGAGCGGATCAACCGTCCTCGAGAATTCAGCCCAAAGCTGCTCCTCCTCCTGAAGACTCAGATGGTACGTAGGCTTGCGTAGCACAGCTGCCCATCCTGACTTTAAAACCACGTGGAAATGTTAAAAGATGTGTGCCAATTCAGCATTGTTCCCTGGCGGATAATTGCACATCTCTGTTCCTGAAGGCGGAGGTGCGCTTGCTGAGTAAATACATTCTGTTAAAACGTCCTCAAGTTCTAGTTCTTGATAATTTGAGAACAAGTTGAGAGGGCGAGAGGAAAGAAGGAGAGGGAGCGCGGTGAAATGGGAGAAATGGGATGAGGATGCAGAAATAATTAAGAGAGTTTGTCAGAGAGACAGAAACGCACAGTAAAAGATGGACAATCTCAAACACAGATCCTCCCTCGCCTCCTTCTCCTCTCAGCCCTCTTATAGCTGCTGGGGCAGATGGCCTTTTGTTGCTCCGCGGCAAACAGAAAGGGAAGTCACGTGGCTGAAAGCCGACGGCATTGATTTCCTCCTCCATTTTCTGCCTGTCAGCGGTGCACGAGGTGCGTTCTCAGGCCTTAAACCTGCACAGTCCAACTGTCAAGCAGAGCAGGTTGTGGTGTCACTAATTAATCACTTAGCCCAGGAACACACTCAAACCCCACATACACACACACACACACAGACAGATGCTGGGTGACAACGTAGAGAGAGAGAGAGAGAGAGAGAGAGAAAGAGAGAGTGGAGACAAATAAAAAAGGAGCACCAGAGTGTGGAAGAAAGAACAAGGGACAAGAATCACAAGTGGGATGAAATGTGCCGTGTTGCTCGGTGAGAAGGAAATGAGACGAGTGACGTGATTTCATTTGGACAAAATGGATTATTAAAGGCTTTGTGAGAGTGAGTAAATGGAACCGGCTGAAGGCTGCCGTTAACAATAGTGGAGGAGCCCTTCTCTTTCACGCGTCTAATAGAATCCCCACAACAACAACCGGCACTGGCGATGAAAGACAGTTCTCTGGCACGGCACGAGGTCACCGGTGTCCTCGTTTCCAAACGGAACAAAAATCAAATGTCATGTGTGGATTCAACAGTCAGGAAAGAACATCAACGAGAACTGCTTGGAATATCAGCAGAAAAAGATGGACGAATAATGATTTTAGTCAGTTTATGATATGCGGCAGGTCGATGCGAACTATATCACTTTAAACATATGGAAAAGGTTTGATAATGAGGGAACTGGCCCGCGGAATAGCAGCCCCCAAAAAAAGAGACTACAATTATACTATTTACTCATTTGTAATTGTATATAATTCCTTCATTTTGATAAATAAATAAACACCAATGTGGTTGGATAACATTTGTACAGTATTTTTCCAGGGACCTCAGACAGAATGAATTAAACTAGACTTGATGATGCTCTGCCAAGCTGGCTGGCAGGTCGTTTGACAGGCTGGCTATTCAGATGACAGGCCACTGAGCCGCAGATTAACATATGGTTACAGCTGTGCTCAATCCTGGGTCCCAGCAATAATTGGACATTTTATAAAAATACATTTGTTTTCTTTCTGACGCATATTTACGTGAGAGGATTAATACTTGGGCCTTCCTTGCCTAACAAAATCATTAGTTAACGAACAGCGGTACAATCTTGTAGAAAAATGAATTTGTTGTTTAGTCATAAGATCAATCAAATTGAGTTTTTGACATGTTGGTGTTGTATGTGTACGGTCAATCTCCTGTTTACCAGATATGTGTTTATACGTTTCATGGAAATAGGTCATTCGAAATGAAAAATGCATTTAAAAAATGACGACTAAATAAATATTGGAATGGAAAAAAGGACCAAATGGATAACAAATCATCCAAGATGGGGAAAACTTAAATAAAACCACTTGCAAGTACAATATATAGCCGAGCTAGACACGGGTTAGCTTAATAAAGGAGATACAACTAGCCTTTCCAGTCTTTTGTGCTAAGCTAAGATAATTCTTATTTTGTGTTAAACTTCTACTCACGCTTCCCGAGGAGATTTTTATAAAAGCACATCTCCTAAAATGCTACACTATTACTTTAAATGCAAACGAGAACAATAGCAACGTAAACCACATTCACAGAGCAAAATGATCTTTTCACGCTTCTTTCACTCACACTGCTCCCATAAGATTTAGAATTCTCCGTGGTGGTGCATTGAAATAACACATGATTTAGATAATACAAGTGTGTATAAACAAGCATTTCATTGAACGATTTTTGGCCTTAAAAACATGTTGGAGTGGCCTTACACATTTTTATTAGTAAACCAACTTTGAAAGAAACTCAAAAGCAGTTCTCAAGAAGGTTTTAAGAAAGAATGATGATTCATACAGGAAATTGCCTCAAAGTTGAAGAAAATACATTTCCTTCAGTTTATCACATCATACCACAATAGTTTAAAATATGCAGCCTACAAAACTTGCTGCTTATATTCTCCAACGAAGCGCTCCAAGCATATGTACTGTATCTGTATTGCTCATGAGACCGACAACAAAGATTGACGCTGTGTGCTGCTGCTCGCTGCGGATCCCACAGTTCTCTCCTCCTTCTACTCTGATACCGTTCTGCTTGAGAGCCTTTCCCCTCCGGTTCCCTTTGCACACACAGTACTATTATTCAAGTCAAGAGAAACACTGTTTGAGCTCTAAAGTTGACATGGGTGATGAAAATATACATATTTGGGGACTTTGCTCTCGTGCAATCTAGAGAAATAGATTAAAGTTCATTCAGCAAATTCTTCCTGCTCTTTGATCTTGGTGAAATGAATCGCCAACAGAGTGAAGACAAACAGTTTGAACCCATTCAGCGGGATGACTGACAGCTGTCACCAGGTCTCCCGTCAGGATAATGAAGGCGAAGCAGTGGGAGTCTGCCTGTGTGATCAGAGCGCCGTTAAGCTGCAGCAAAACACACGGATCCTCACCGCTGTCCTTTAACTACCTCCCGTGACTGCAGCTACTGGAGTATTAAGATGAGGGCTTCTGCAAACTACACTAGAAAGGGCAGTAAATTACAAACACTTCAAAAAGCTGAAGACCAAACTTTGATCCCTAATCAAAGCGTCTGCGTTTTGGACACAGAAGGGGAAGCATTTCCACAAAGCTCTGCATGAATAACAGACACATCCCTGCAGCCCTGGCAACACAACAGCAAATGTGTGGCAGTCAAAATGGCAAATTCATTGAAAAGGCCTCTGATGAGAATAGTTTGAAATGCCCATCGCTTGTTTTTACTGAGAGCCTCAATGACCTTTACACAGAAAATGTGTAATTGTGAAACATACAACTTTAACAGTTTCAAAGTACCTGATCCTAAATATGGATCCTTGTAACCCTTCAAAGATTCAAAAGATAAGCTGCTCTTGTGTCTCCTTCATTGGCTTCAAACAGGGATAAAACCTCCCCATTTATTTTGTTAAATTAGGTTTTCTTATGTATTGTCAAGTTACATTTAGACTTTGGGAGCAAAACCAGACAGGGTCTCAAGGCCCTCTAAGTCGATGAGCCATGTTTAGCCACGTTTAGCCAGGTCGCTCCATGTCTGGCGTGTGTAGGGACCACGTTCCAAAATGTCATACCAGGTTTGATGAAATTAGCAGAAAGGCCCATTCGGGAATCGTTCTGATGTGTTTTCCACTGCAGTAGCGAGCCCACTGCCTTAAAATTGTTCTGTCAATCAGGATACGCCAGGTTTCCATGGACACGT